CAGTCGTTTTGCACAATAAAGCATGCAACAAAGCGGCAGGGCATGCGAAGATCGCCCCAAGCCTGATTTCTGATGAGCATCTCAATCAAGCTTGGAATCGTAGCCACCACACACAGAGTCCCTCCGGCAGCATGGCCAGCTACGGAATCCGATTCGCGGGGGTCGCAGACTTCCTGCTGGAGTGGTTGCTGCCGGGCGAATGTGTTCGAACACTGCTGACGAGCTCGCAGCCCCCAGAAGGCGTGGTTCGCTGTTGCTCCGACTTCGCAGCGACGCGGGCCCGCGTGTTCGCAGCGCTGAATTCTCTGCTGCAGTGTGGAATGCTCTGCCCGCGAATGCCAGATGTGCAACCGGTTGATGTCTACGTGAATGCCCTGCAGCGATCAGTGTTCCAGTGGCTCGAGACGGATTGGAACGTGTCGGCCATGGTGCCGGCTAATTTGGAAGCGGACGCACGCCGTGCCGGTGTCAACTTACCGGACCTGCTCCATCTGCTTAACCGGCGGTTCCTCGAGGACATCGGCGAGAGCCTAGACTTCCTTCGTCGACATAACGTTGCTATACACCTCTTCGCCGATGCAGTGCCGCACGTGCTGCGCGATCCTTTCAGCTGGATGGTGCCGGCACGCTTTGGCGGCGAGCTAGCGACTATTTTCGTCGTGGAAATGCAGGTAGAAGCACTGCATTTCTACGTCGTGTGTCACGAACTAGATGTTTCGTGGCCTAGATCCTCTGACAGCGAAGAACAAGAGGAGGAGCTTGTGTGGGACATATCCGAATCCCCATCTCCGAGTTCTTTCGCACGAGAGGCAGCTAACGCCGGTCCGTTTCTCGTCGCTGACTCGGACTGAAGCAAGGAACTCTTCTTTCGAGAAGAAGTCGAAAGGCTTGCCTTGTACAGTGTACAGCAATAATGTTGCCGAAGGAAAAAGAAATCAGCCTGTCTGCTGTGCTACATTTGCTTCCGCAAGAGCAGTATGAAATCGCCGACTGGTATTTGGCTTCCTTATGATCAGGGTGGTTGGAGGCAAGCGCCGAGAGACGCGGAGCTATTCGGCTCAACATAAATTGATTGTCTTCAACAAGATAGCCATGGCACTGCAGCCGATGCCGAACCTCGGCATTTGATACTGCCGCCCCTGTCACAAATATATAGCACGGAATGATTCCGCCATGACACGCTAAGGACTGGCTTCTTTTGGGTGGTCGTGTACAGCGACTACGCCCCTTGCGAACGAATATGGCTTCGACCGCAGGCAACGTTCGAGGAACTGAAAGTAGCTTGGCTGCAATCTCGCAGTGACTTTCGTGTGTATATAAGTGATCCCTGCTCGACTGAGTCAATCTGGAGCTGGAAGTACGGACGAGCTCCGACGTGGCACACCTTCTGCCAGGTTGGTCATATCCGCGTAGCAAAGGACAGCTTTTGAGTGCTGAGCTCGCAAGATGTGCTGATGTCTGCAAGAAGCAAGATAGGAAGTTCGCCACAGCCTCGAACATGCAGGACCAGCCGGTGTTGGAGATGCTGCTGCGACTGCAAACGAACGTTGTAATTATGCGAGATAACTGTCGCATGGGCCCTGGATTCATGCCCTGTGCTTGTTAAAGAGACCCGGCTTTTGGAGACGCCCCCTGCAAGTGAAGAAAGAACTGGAACTTGCAGGGTTTCGTGAAGGGCCAATGAACAATATCTTGGCCATGCTGGATGCCCATACCAGCGTCATTGACGCCTACTTGTCCGGCTCGTTGACTTTAGAGGAAGCTCCACAGCCACCCCAAGAGCATTTCGCTGCGCCGGAGCTGGGTTTTCGGGGTCGGCTGGAACCCGAGCAAGCTGCAGTGCTCGGAAACATCAAAGACATGGTTGTCTGGGCACTTCGCCGCCGCTATCCAGACGAAGCCACCGCAGCAGCACTCCAGGAGTTTCTCGAACAGCCGGAAAGCCAACGGCCGCGCATCGCCAAGCCGTTCTGTGTGTTGGGACCCGCCGGCAGCGGCAAGTCCACGAGCGTGGAGGTCGCCATTCGCCGAGCCGTCGAAGCCGGGGCGCACGTCGGCATCGCCTGCCCCACGGGGATGTTGGCCAGCACCTATCGCGAGAAGTTTCCGGACTTGGACGTGGACACGCTGCACGGTATGTTTCTCTTGCACAAGAACAGGCACGAGACATGGGACTGCATGGCGAACTTCGATTTGGTGGTCATTGACGAAGTGGGGCAGCTGTCGCAAGAGACTTTCGAGCGCATCCTCTGGTTGTGGGACAACGCCGACCGTCGGCCGGCACTCGTCTTCGTCGGCGACTTCCACCAGCTCCAGGGCATGGACGGCACGAGAGCCACGGACAGTGCACGCTGGCAGCACGTCGTGAAGCGCCATCTGCAGAAAATGAGACGCTGCCGGTGCGAGGAGTTGAAATGGAAGCTAGAGCTGCTGCGCACGGCAAAGCCGTCTAAAGAACAGATGCACAGCATGATCCGAGGCCACCGCGCCATGCCCGACAGAGGCCCCGGCTACAGCCAGGAACCAACCGACATGGACATGGAGGCCATGCTGGGAGACTGGCCTGATGCCACATTCGTTACTGTGACTCGCCAAGCCAGCGCCGTGCTCAACGAGTTGGCCGTCGCAGCACTCTTCAGAAACGAGGAGGCTACTGCAATCGTGCATGCAGACTACGAGAGCAATCAGGACAACTACGACATGTTCGGACAGTTATGCGATTGCAGGCCCCAGGAATTGGAGATCCATATTGGCATGCGGGTGACTCTCACCAGGAACATCAACAAGGCGGTCGGCTTCGTGAATGGCATGTCAGCCGATGTGGTAGCCGTCCGAGGACAGACGGTCGTGGTTCGCACCAAGTCTGGGGGCATCCTGACTCTGTTCCCTTTTACCGATGACGACATCGTCATCCAAGGAGAGCCCTGCCGTGTAACGTACTTGCCACTGCGCCTCGGCTACGCCACCACTCTCGTGAAGGTTCAGGGAGCCACGCTGTCCAGAGCAATCTTCTGGCTGGATAAGGCCAATATCCCGGCTGCCGGATACGTGGCCCTGTCTCGGGTGCAGCGCGACGCCGATTGGAAGTTCATTGGGCATGTAACGCCGCATCATTTCACGCCAGCACACGGGGTGTGAGCGGCTTTGTACAGCAGATAGCAGCAGACAGCAGAGCTGCAACTCGCAGGCCCGCAGGGACAGCCGAGTCGAGGGCCTAGCAAAATACGCAGCGTTTGCAAGCAGCGTCTGCACCCGGAAGCTCCTCTAGCTACCTTGGACTTGCTGCCCTTTTGGCACGCGCCACAAATAAAGTAAATCGTTGAAGTTTTCTGCCCAGAGAAGTGTCGATACAGTCAGTGTAGCAGTCTTGATATATGTTCTTCCATGATGCACGTCCGATTTCTTTTCATGATCTTCTTACGACTACGAAAGGTGCTTCTTAAAGTCTTAGGCAGTCTTTAGTACTTTAGTATGACTATATCAAGTATAGCATAAATGTAGCTTTTCCAGCAATTATTCTGGAAGAACCTGGATTTTTTCCGGGTTTTTGGTGGTTCTGGCCATATTTTTGCTAGATTCTGTCCGGGCAAAGCCAGGAACTGCCCAGAATCCGTCCGGGAGGACCACCCAAAAGCCCAGAATTCGACAACTGTCACGAGGATCGTGGCCCTGGCACGCAAAAGCCTCGTATTTTTCTGGTTTTTGGCGGGCCGGAGCCGTCGAATGGGGGGAACACCGAGATTGGCCGGCGGCCTAACGAAAATGACACATTTTATAAGCAGGATTTGGCAACAGAAAATCAACCCTATTTTCTGCTGAAAATACTGGAAACCCGCAAAAGCACGAAATCCTAACGAAAATGACACATTTTATAAGCAGGATTTGGTAACAGAAAATCAACCCTATTTTCTGCTGAAAATACTGGAAACCCGCAGAAGCACGAAATTCGTCAAATATACCATAAATGTAGCTTTTCCAGCAATTATTCTGCAAAAACCTGTATTTTTTCCTGGTTTTTGGTGGTTCTGACCATATTTTTGCTAGATTCTGTCCGGGCAAAGCCAGGAACAGCCCAGAATCCGTCCGGGAGGACCACCAAAAAGCCCAGAATTCGACAACTGTCACGGGGATCGTGGCCCTGGCACGCAAAAACCTCGTATTTTTGCTGTTTTTTGGCGGGCCGGAGCCGTCGAATGGGGGGAACACCGAGATTGGCCGGCGGCCTAACGAAAATGACACATTTTATAAGCAGGATTTGGTAACAGAAAATCAACCCTATTTTCTGCTGAAAATTCTCGAAACCCGCAAAAGCACGAAATTCGTCAAATATACCATAAATGTGGTTTTTCCAGCAATTATTCTGCAAAAACCTGTATTTTTTCCTGGTTTTTGGTGGTTCTGACCATATTTTTGCTAGATTCTGTCCGGGCAAAGCCAGGAACAGCCCAGAATCCGTCCGGGAGGACCACCAAAAAGCCCAGAATTCGACAACTGTCACGGGGATCGTGGCCCTGGCACGCAAAAACCTCGTATTTTTGCTGTTTTTTGGCGGGCCGGAGCCGTCGAATGGGGGGAACACCGAGATTGGCCGGCGGCCTAACGAAAATGACACATTTTATAAGCAGGATTTGGTAACAGAAAATCAACCCTATTTTCTGCTGAAAATTCTCGAAACCCGCAAAAGCACGAAATTCGTCAAATATACCATAAATGTGGTTTTTCCAGCAATTATTCTGCAAAAACCTGTATTTTTTCCTGGTTTTTGGTGGTTCTGACCATATTTTTGCTAGATTCTGTCCGGGCAAAGCCAGGAACAGCCCAGAATCCGTCCGGGAGGACCACCAAAAAGCACAGAATTCGACAACTGTCACGAGGATCGTGGCCCTGGCACGCAAAAACATCGTATTTTTGCTGTTTTTGGGCGGGCCGGAGCCGTCGAATGGGGAGAACCCCGAGATTGGCCGGCGGCCTAACGAAAATGACACATTTTATAAGCAGGATTTGGTAACAGAAAATCAATTTTTATTTTCTGCTGAAAATGCTGGGAGCCCGCAAAAGCACGAACATCGGAAAAAAAAACTTGGATTTTTTCTTGGTTTTTGGTGGTTCTGGCCATATTTTTGCTAGATTCTGTCCGGGCAAAGCCAGGAACAGCCCAGAATCCGTCCGGGAGGACCACCAAAAAGCCCAGAATTCGACAACTGTCACGAGGATCGTGGCCCTGGCACGCAAAAGCCTCGTATTTTTCTGTTTTTTTGGCGGGCCGGAGCCGTCGAATGAGGGGAACCCCGAGATTGGCCGGCGGCCTAACGAAAATGACACATTTTAGAAGCAGGATTTGGTAACAGAAAATCAATTTTTTTTTTCTGCTGAAAATGCTGGGAGCCCGCAAAAGCACGAAAATCGTCAAATATACCATAAATGCAGCTTTTCCAGCAATTATTCTGGAAAAACCTGGATTTGTTCCTGGTTTTTGGTGGTTCTGGCCATATTTTTGCTAGATTCTGTCCGGGCGAAGCCATCCAAAGCCCAGAATCCGTCCGAGAGGGACCACCAAAAAGCCAAGAATTCGACAACTGTCACGAGGATCGTGGCCTTGGCACGCAAAAACCTCGTATTTTGCATGGTTTTTGGCAACTTCAAAGCCTTTCCAAATGGACAAACAAACTAAAAAGCGCGCCGCGCGCGCACCCCAGAAACAAGTGTGCAGGGTTTAGGGTATTTGCCTTAATAGAGCATTATTGGCGTACGCCCAGGGACAGGTCTACTGTCCCTATTGAGAACAAGTTCACGCTTGTGGTGCCACGTACGTGCTAGTTGTATTGTTCCGTGGAAGGCATGTAGCCCGGGT